TCATCATCATTGAAACCTTCTACTCCCTCTTTATTTTCACCTTTTTTCTCATCTTGGCTAGACCATTTAGCTTGCTTAGATCTTTAAGCTTGCTCAACTCTAGAAGCCTTCTCGCTAATTTACTTAACCTTTAGAGTCTGAGAAGGTCTTTGAGCTTGAAATGGAGTAGGGAGCTTTACGACGTCAAAAGAAGATAAAGATGATGCAAAAGTAGAAGACTGGTTAGACTCAGACATAAACCTAAAACTAGAATTTGAGCTCAGACTATTGGATGGTTTGGTAGATGGTTAGGTAAAAGTGTATGGTAATGAAGCCAAAAATAAGAAAGAAGGTCAGACGGAGGGATCGAACTTACCACACTTATGGGAATATAAAGGTTTTGAAGGTTATAATTTACTTTTTACAAACATTAGGTTTAGTCAATAGGTAGTTTGGCTATTGTCTTTTTCTGTAATAATGGAAGGGATCTTATCATTCGAAAAAATCCTATCTCAGCCAAGCTGGCCCTCTATAACTTTTATAACAAAGTTAGACAAACTTAAATCAGATGACATAATGAGAGAAAAAAGATGTGCCAAAGTTGTTTAAGCATGAAGAGGTTGGACAAAGAAAAGTTTGGACAAAAAAATTAGGAAACTAAAGATTGATGAATGTAGGTCAACAATAGAGCAAAATAGTGTTGAAAAGTGAAGAATTGAAGCCTTAAGGGCCTTATATGGCCATGTCTTAGATTCAATGGATGTAATAGATTGAGCCACATCATTATACTGATACTGATGATGACTTTTCAACTTTTCAGTCCAAAGTCAAAGAATCACCTAAATTTTTACTTTTCGCATAAAATTTTCTCTCATCAATAAATGCATATTCAAATGAATCTATAAAAAGTCCATCCAAAATCCACACGTGTCACATTGGTCATATTGTACAAATGTTAAACTGGTCATGGTATATAAACATTACTTCGGACATACTACGTATTTATTGCCAATGTCATGTTAGCCATATGTGTAATGTCACGTCGAGCACATTGTATATACACCTTAAGTGTTATGTCAATCATTTCATGCAAGCATCATGTCAGTCACCTTAGTAGGATGCCAACATTAACTCATCCATGTTGACACAATCGTAAAGATTAGCCCTACAAATCATGGTTGGGATAATCATAAAAGTAGTTCCTCCATTGGTACAATGGGAACTCTAAAAAAAATCCACAATCAGCTTATGGCTTGGTTTTAACAACAACAAATTTACCAATCCTGTGTTTCATTAGTCTAACACCTTAAAATATTTGATGAGAAGACATAATGTTAAGGGCATTTTATGGTCCAGAGGGTAAAATAAACATTTTGCCCTAAAGTGTGTCATTAACGAAATAGAGGTAGTTTGGTCATTTCGACCCAAGCTGACTTGTTGAGTTGACTTAAAATCTTGGTACACATTAGCTTGATCACCTTAACTTGCCACCTAAAGGCATATCGCAATGCTGGCTTGTCACCTCTCAATTAGATTGTTAACTATCATATCAGGTCAGGCAAACAACATTAGTTTTAGCCTCGTCGCTTAGAGCTTAGACCACTAGGCCTAACATTCTCATCCTACTAGTATAAATAGCACCTCACCCTCGAGTACTATTCATTCAATTTTCATATATCTACTCCCAAGTTTTCTCTCCTTCCCTCTCTTCTCCAGTATTGACTTAATCGTTGGAGTATAAACGCTGAAAACACCTTCAATCTTTACTATTAATTGACTTTCCACCTTGAGATTTCAGATTCTTGCCTTTATTTAAACAACTTAGCACCAACAGGTTTCCTGTTTTTTCACGAACGTGATTCATCGAGACTAAAAGAATGCTTCACGATGAGAGTACGAAACAGATCACAGGTCAAACATATTAGTACCCAACGTCTCTCTCCTTAAAAGATAAAAACTTCTTAGCTAGCTAGGGCATGTTTCATGTGCTATAATGTTGAACAAATTAACTCCCTATTGGATGGGAAACTTAGTGTTGATAATAATGAATGGTGGAAATATAGTCTAATGAATGCCTATGACAAAGATGGAGACATCTTAGTTTCACGGTGCTAAACCCCATTTTCAATTTTCCCCACCCTGTGTTCCGATTGCTAGAGTCAAACACCAAGAATCAATGCATTGAAAAAAGAAGAAAAGATGGAAACGATGAGAAGACACGAAGGGCCCAGCTACTCATTTGTGCCTCTCACGATGAGTGGTGGGTTAAGTTTCATTTGTTTCACATTTAATGCATCTATCCGAGATTTCTAAGGTCAAAAACATTTGGGCATGCTTGAGCAAGAGCCCCTTGGAGCTATGTTGGTGAAATTTTATTATAATGATCTGCTATACCAGTCAAACACTGATTCAAGTTTCTATAAATTTTCATATTTTTTGAGCTTGAGGCTTAGCTTAATGATTCATCCTTTTCTAGGTAATGGATTCTCATAAGAATGATATTCGATTTTTAGCATTTGCAAATTCTCTCTCTTCAATTCCACCCATCTCTTTTAAGTGATGAATTCTCATAAAACTGATATTGCAAATTTTCTTTCTCCAATTCCCCTTATATCTTAGCCTTCCTTGTACTAAAAAATTTTCATATTTTTCATGAGAATTCTACTTGTAAATCAATTGCATGTAATCATATTTTTGGAGGAAATTAGTTTCGTTATTATTATTTTTTTTTGGAATTCATTTCTTCTGTTCTCCCCGAAAATTAATGATGCATCACTTGTAGTTAACAATATCATGTATATCATCTACTTAATTAATTATGGATTTTGTTTTTTTGCACTTGTAATTAACAATATCATGCATATAAATTACTTGGTAGCTAATTTATATCTCAGCTATTACCTAGTTCATCGGATTTAACACATAAGAAAAGAGACTAGTAATGCACAAATAATTTGTGTCACGGCTGGATAAATATATTTATGATTAGTTCAATATAATAGCTTTTTTAGTTAAACTGTGTAATTATTTTGAAAAACTATGGTTTGCCATGCTATAATTAATACGTATGCGTGTCAAGGATTATCAATTACTCCCTCCGCCCATATGGTTAGTCTACGGTTGATTTTTATAGAGTTAAAGAAAAATATGTTTGACTATGCTGTATATAACTTTAAATTTTGACTATGGTGTATATAACATTAAATTTTTAATTTTGTTCCATAATTTTTAATGATAAAAAATAAAAAATCATAAAAAATAATTTTGAAATATAAAAAGTAAAAGATTTAAGTGTTTTAAAAAAAGAATATAGTTTTGGAACATCTAAAATGAAAAAAGTTAATAAAGAAATGGAAAGGAAGGAATAAAATCTATTAATCAAAAACATATAAAACATATTATAAGTGAATAGAATTTAAAATTTAATTTAATTGATTCATAAGCATTTAATAAATTTAAAATTCGAATCTTAATATTTAATTAATGTTTATAGGTATAATTTTTCTTTCTAAGTAGGGATATTAATACTTTAAAATATCAATAGCCATATCTTTTGATTCACAGCATAAAATTAAGAATGAACATAAGTCCTTCCTCAACTTAAATATAATGGCAGTTTTCTTTAAAGTAAATATTCAAAAGAGAGTTACAAACTTAAGTATTTTGTTATTGAAACTTTAAAAACATTCATTCTAATAACTGTTTTATGTAATATATAATATTGTAGTTATCAAATAGTGAGTAATTAATTACTATAGCCCAAGTTATATTGTTTTAATCAAACTAGTTATGTACCCATTTTCCGTTAGTATTTCAAATTACATTTGTTCCACTAGTCAAAACGAATCTGGTACATGAACAATAAGCTGGAAACTAAACATTAATATTAAACCTTGCGACTGATTTTGAACTTTCTTTGAAGCATTCTTACATACGGAAACTTTTATGATGAAAGCCTGGCGATGCATTAACATTTCTATAATTCAATGTTTCAGGCAAGGTAGTTAATTAGTAGTTAGGATTAAGGGTCAGATGATTAGTCAAATAATTAAATGTAACTAAGATTAGATAGTATGTTAGTAAAGTTAAAACTGGTAATCTTGAGTTTTGAAATTCTTGTCTTCCTGTTTTGAAAAAAATAACGTAAGAAAAATTCATGGAATAAAAACGATGGAAACAAAAAGATGAACAGGGAAACGTCAAGAAGTAGTGAATTAAAGTTTGGAAATGACGAGTGGCGCGGTGACAGTGAGACCACCCCAGTGGAACCATGAGCATCACAATGAATAGAGTCGATGCCCATCAAATCAGATTGATCTACTGGGCTCTAGGTTTTCCACGTGACAATGGTGCCATGATTGTGACCAACAACAGTACCCGATGGACGGAGCTTTCATACCCAGGAAATTCTTGTTTTCTCCTAACACCCCGCACCGAGTATCGGATCAGTTTAATTATCATCATTTAACGAGATATTATTCGTTCAAACTCTTTTTAATTTTATAAAAAAATAAAATGATATAAGTTTTTATATTTTAAAATTAATTTTAATACATAATTAATATAAAATTTATGATTCTTCTCTAAAAGTATGATTTTTTTTTTACTCTAACAAATGTCTTATCATTTTTGGATACATCGATAGTATCCTTAAAATTAAATAAAATTCTACTTTAAACATCAATCATTTTTAATGATATATGTTAATAGTTTTAAAATTAATTTTAATATTATTTATTATGAATCAAGATTTAATTTTAAATTTATATAATTTTAAAATTTAAATATTAATTCATCTAATATCTCATATCAATTTAATTATCACTATTTATATTTTTATAAAATATTATTTACTGTAATCTCTTTATTTCATAATTTTATCTTATAAATTTTTATATCATTAAGGTTAATTTTAATAGATAATCGATATAAAATTTACGACTCTGAAATCGTGACGCTGCTACCTAGCTATTGCTTTGCTGCTTTATGTCTTCTCTTTCTCTATTTTTCCAGTCCCCGAGTACCTCTTTCGTTACTTTTATTCGCTTTGATAACAATTGAACTCCCTTGCGCTCGAACAAAAAGTTAAGAAAGAGTAGAAAGAAATTGTCTTGGATCAAGGACTATATCATGTCTTCCTCTTCTTCATTTTCTCTCATTACCTTCGGCCAAAACGCCTCACCAACGCTGCAACAAAGGCTCCAATTCATCATCGTCCAAAGCAGGCCTAAATGGTGGGTATACTCCATTTTCTGGCAAGCTTCCAGGGATGCTCATGGCCAACTTGTTTTATCATGGGGTGATGGATATTTTCGGGGAACCAGGGACTTTACAGGAAAATCCAGCAATAAGCTAAGCCAACCCAAATTCGTGTCCAATTTTGAGAGAAAAAGGTCGGGCAAAGAGGTGCAAGCTCTTTTCAGTGAAGAGATGGACATGGACAGAATGGTGGATGGCGATGTCACTGACTACGAGTGGTTTTACACCGTATCAATTACCCGATCCTTCGCTATAGGAGATGGCATTCTTGGGAAGGCTTTCGGGTCAGGCTCCTATATTTGGTTGAGTGGAGATCAGGAACTCCAATTGTACGATTGTGAGCGAGTTAGAGAAGCTCGAATGCGAGGAATTCAGACATTAGTCTGTCTTTCGACTTCCTTTGGGGTAGTTGAATTGGGATCTTCTGAAATGATCAAAGAAGACTGGGCCATGGTGCAACTTGCAAAATCAATTTTTGGTTCTGATATCAACAGTCTGGGTTCAAAGCAACCTGGCCAAGAATCTCAGGTCCAAATTTCAACCCAAAGTGTTCCTTTTCTTGATTTCGGAATGGTTTCAGGTGATCAAAAGGAGTGGATTCTTGAAGAGAAGCAACAAGGTGAGACCAAGAAAGATACTACCGGTTTAGGCCGCTGGTCATCAGACTCCGGTGCTGATTCTGACGGTAATTTTGCCTCTGCAGACACGGAGTGTAATGCCTGGTTGAAGAAGAGAGGGAGAAAGCCGGGAAGTGGAAAAGAATCCCCTTTAAACCACGTGGAAGCAGAGAGGCAACGCCGTGAGAGACTGAATCATCGATTCTATGCACTTCGATCTGTGGTTCCTAATGTGTCCAAGATGGACAAAGCATCTTTGCTTTCAGATACAGTAGCCTACATCAAGGAGCTCAAATCTAAGATTGATGAACTGCAGACAAAACTCCAAGCACAATCGCAAAGATCCAAGTCGTATGCGATCAATGTTTTTGACAATCAAATTAGTACAACATCTTCATTTGACAATACAAGGCCATTCTCTAATTACGGGCCAAAGACAATGGCAGTTTGTGTCAAGATTATTGGATCCGACGCCATGATTCGGGTTCAATGTCCTGATGTCAATTATCCGGCTGCAAGATTGATGGATGCTCTTAGAGACCTAGAGCTTCATATACACCATGCCAGCGTATCACACGTGAACGAGCTGGTGCTTCAAGATGTTGTTGTCAGAGTTCCTACGGGATTTATAAGCGAGGAGGTGCTGAGGACCGCTATCCTTCAGAGATGCAGATTGAACTAGCAAGCTCTCCAGTGAGGATATCAAGCAGTCCTTTGTTTTTCTTTCTTTGTATGGATTATCATGAAGCCACATATATGTAACATTACTACTTGTTCTCTTCTTTTCGTTCTTTCTTGTCCTTTTTTCGCTTCTAAGTGAAAGCATATTCTTCTTGGCTTTGTTTACTTTTTTATGATCAATATTCTTCTTGTTCAAATGTGTATGAGCTAGTTAATTCACCTTTCCAACATGTTCCAGGAGTGCGCACCCAGTGATGAAGCAATTGATATATGTTCTTAGTATTTCGTAGTGCAATTATTATATGCTTGGAAGTCCCTAGGCTCCCTCATGGTGAGAGATAAGCTTCATTACGGGAATTGGCACAAGCTAATCTGCTTTAAAAACTTCATTTTCCTGGCCTAACTAGCTAACTATATGCATGTTTGAATATGTTTGAATAATTAAAACATAAAATATTAGTACTTTTGTTGATCACACTTAAAGCACACATATATAGCAGAATAGATCAATTACCTGGCCAGTACGTACGGCCTTTTAGGCATCCATGACACAATCCTTGAGTACTGAAATCAGCCTTAAATTCATAGCGAAAACTTATCCCTAAAACAATTCTGAAACCTGATCTTAATCTTTTTATTTTGGTATATATATATATTATAAGTTCTTTTGGAGATTGCTGTCAGAGAAATGAGATATAAAGATGAAGGCAACAGTCTACAGACTTAGGGTTTGAGATAGGAAACAAGAATTGATATCTTTATGATATAAAAGGGATCAAGTTTTAGGAAACTTACTATATAGGTAGTTGTCTTTGAGTGCTTGCTCCTATCTGAATTGAGTGATTATATATGTACTTGGCTTTGCACTTCATTATGAACATTTTAGGAAGCATTCCATTTATCTCCAAACATCACTAGAAATACTCACATATAATCACTCAGTGAATTAGTTTTGCGCTGCAACTATTCGGATCGAAAGGAAGGAATTGCAAAAAATCACCAAAACATCGAGAGAAAAAAAATTATATTATATGAAAGAAAGATGTTAAAGAGTGAGTGAATGACTATCAACAGTGTTATATAAAAAATTTTTGCAATTAATGCATTAATTATTTGTTCTCAAATTTATTAGAAACACATTGAAAACATTTTTTTAAAGTTAAATTTTTACTTAACCTTAACAAGTACTTATAACTTATAAGCATGTGTTAACCAAATCCAATATAAAATAAGTTTATAAATGAAGGTGATACTGCAATATATATTCCACTTAGATGTATAGAAAATATATTTGGTTAAAATTGGTAAGATGTTAAATACAGGTATTAAACTAAACGGATAATGGTGATAATTTTCAAATAACACATTAGTGTTTCCATTGTTTGTGCAGGCTTTTGTCATGTCAATTTGTTCCTTGGCTGAGATTGTTGTTTGAAATTGCACTGGTCTGATCATGTATGGAATAAGATTCTTTTACTTATAGGAATGAAGTATACTTGTGTTGGGTACATTAGTGAGAGAATTTTATGTCAGATTATTCTCTTTCCCACAAGATTTTTTGTGGTGCAGTGGTAAACGTTACAAAAAATGACAGCAGAAGTGAAAGTCGGCAGTTGCATAATGTAACATCTGTTAAAGGTACTACTATATAACTTGCATGCATTTCTAGGTTTGCGGTCTATATATTCATCATACAGATTTTAATTTCCAATTGTTAAATTTTGTTTCTTTCTTGTGTGTTTACTCTATCTCACAGGAGAAAATCTGTCTCCAAAGTTGAAGACTTGAAGTTCTCCTCGTCATGTATAAATGTCCTCTCAATGAAAAGCTATTGTCACATATCTCATGATTTTATGGTACAACATCTCATAAACATTATTTTAGTTCCATTTTTTACCGGCAAATTTTGTTTTCATTTTATTTGAAAATTTTTTATTGAAAAAAATGTCTTTACGTAAACATGATTTATGGGACAGGAGGAATACTAAATTATTATTTATCCCATAAAAAATTATTATAATAGTACTAGTTTTTTTTCTTGAAAGGAACAACTTGTCTCATAAAGTAAACCATACCTATGCAAGCTATGATAACCACATTCAGTCTGAAACATATCAAGCAAAGAATTTCTGGACTTGACATTTTCTATGAAACTGGTTGAATATTCTTATCCACCTGTTTAATTATGAGATTAAGTTCCGTTTTGGTTTTTTAACCCTCTTGGTTCAATATGGGCCTATTCGACCCATTTCTTGCCAAGACTCAAATTGTCAATTGAAAATGTCTGTAATTTATATAATGGGCCTTTGTCTTTTCAATTGGGGATATGAGAGAAAACTAGGCCCATTTTGAGGACTTGCTTTATTATCAATTCTTTCATCTAATAATAGTGACACATCCAAATCCAATTAGATTAATATTACTCAATTTATGATATTTTTTTTTTTTTAGAATTACTCAATGTATGATTTGGAAAAACCAAGGTAATTATTTTTCGCTTAGACCTAAACTTCAGACGTAAACCTAAAGATAGTGATTAATATTGGTAGGGGCTTTTCAAAAAAAAAAAAAAATCGCAGGGATATGAATTGCTAATCCAATTTTCACACAACTATGCATGATCACACCATCAGTTAAAAAAGATTCTACTTTCTTATATTGGTTTATTGTGCTACAAAATAATAGATAGGAAGGAATGAGTGTTGGATGAGTCGGTAAAAATTGAATATTTAATTTATAAAGTGTAGATTCGATTTTCTTTACAAACAATCCTTTTTTATGAGAGATAGATTTGTAAATTCAATCAAGTTATTATTAAAATTTGCAACATACATTAATCTTGAAATGAGATAATTCCCCTCAGTTAAATTCAAAAAAAAAAAAAAATGGAAGGAAATACATCCCTATTTTACAGCATTTTGAATAGATGTATTTCTTTGGTGAAAAATTATATATATAAACCCATTTAATTACTTTTGTTATATGATTCCCATTTTCTACCATAAAACCAAACTGATCATTATTCAACAACTAGGTTAATTACTGTCAACAATCAGTATAAATACTCATAACTATAGTGACTGACTTTAATTAATCTCTAAACAAATTTTTGACCAAGCTCGGAAGTAATCAATAAAATGTAGGAAGAATCATATAAATCACTAATAGAAATGAAAAGAGAGAGAGGGGGGGGGGGGAATAAAGGGGATGCTCTTGAATAACTTTCTCTGATGGGCAAAAGTTTACAGCTAGCTAGCAAATTGTTAGGTTGTTTCTTTTTCCAACCAACTTGCATGAAAACAAGGCGTGTGGAGAAAACCCAGATTAAATCTACCAAAATTTCTAATTAAGTTAGCTAACAGTAATCCAATTTTGAGTCCATTTTATGCCCAAAAAAAAAAAAAAAGAAAAAGCTTCCAATGGTTTCTTTAGAAAAACCCCCACACATTCAAAGTTGGTGAGAAAGTGAGCAATATATGAAGAAAATTGGAACAGTACATATCTTGCTTGTTAACAAGACAAATTACAACTTGGATGAATGATTAATAATTGGAAGCTGTTGATTTGAGTTCAAGAAAAGCCTGGTTTGGTTTGTGTGGTTTGAGTCATTGGAGAATGGAGAGATATATCAATTTTTACCTCTTGTCATTGTTAATTAATTTGGATTGTTGTGGGCTTGCACATTATTTATAATAACGAGAATACTCAGATTTAATTCAGCAACATCTGCAAGAAGTCAGGGATGACTGCATATAATCGAAAAAAAAAAATCTTCAAAATTTGCAGCTCAACTACACCATAAATTTGCACTGAAGGCATATGAAGTAAAAGTAATTAGCTGCTAACCATACCCTCTCCACGTCTCTATATTTATTTGCTTCTTTGGGTTGAGTAAACGGCTTGGGTTTAAAAAAAGGCTAATTTTCATTATTTCTTTAATTTTAGATTTTTTTAGAAAAACCATTCAATATTTCATTAATATGAAGATAAAATTAAAAAAAAAAAAGTCGTATTAGAGAGACATTTAGATACTGTCCTCTCTTGTAAAAAATATAGAATGAACAAGAGAATTATTAACAAAATTCTTAGGACATATATCATACCAATCTGCGTTGCCATTTCACAATAACATGTATCATACTTATATTTTCCATTTTTTTTTTTTTTGTATTGTAGTATTAGTTATCAATTTTTTTAATATAAAGGAGATCAAGTCTCTAAAAAAATTATGAGTATGGAGGATCAAATTCTTGCTCTTTAAGGAAATTTATTTATTAAAAGAGATAGATAAATCATTTGGATTAAATCTCACTACCATTTAAGTCTTCATTGAAAGATTATGGGTCAGGTGAATCAATAAATGATTGAGAAGCAACTAATTGGAAAGTCAATAAGGAAAACAAAAAGTTCTTAGATTTAGGGCGTAGAAGAATGAGAAGTTGCGAGGAAGGAAGTTGGTCAGCCCACACTCTTGTGCGGTGGGGCACACGACTCATATTTGCTTTGCACTATTCCAATAAGGAGGTTTGAACCCAAGAACGTATTTATATGAATGATCAAGAAATTTTAATAAATTTTTATTAAAGGAATTTATCTTATTTTATTATTAATGAAACTTTAAATTTTACAAATAATATTAATAATATGATACATATTCTTTATAATATATTAAAAAATAATTAAAAATAAGATATTTGATAATTTTTAATTTTATTTTTAAAATTAAAAAATTTTATCATATCAAAAAATGGATTCTTTATAAAATTATAATTTATAATAAATAAATAAAATTATTTTAAATACTTTAATAAACAAATTTAACCTTTTAATAAAAATTTAACTGATACTAAACTGAATTATGACTCTTACCTAAACCCATGAAGAGAAGAGGAGACAGAAGAGTTGCCAACTCGAATAAGCGAAGGAAGTTCGGACAACAAATTGCTTCGCCCCATGAAGTGAAGAGTTGATCAAATTTTGCTGGGACACGACACGTGTCATTCGACCGTACATTTTTCTGTGTGCTGTTCTAATAAATTGCTTAAATTCATTTTTATTCGTTTACCCTCAGCAGCTGTTTCTTTTCCTCGTTTCGGAAAATCTTAAATTCGATTGATGGCCCAATCAAGTTAACAATAAGGCAGCTTTGTATTTATTTTTCTACCATCAAAGTAGAAATAGTTTTGGGTTGGGTAAAACCCTTCCAAATAAAATCTCTATCCTTTATAATTCAGTAGCCTAACATGACATGCTGATTTATTCCCTGATTAATAAGTTCAGTAGCCTAACATGACATACTGATTTATTCCCTGATTAGTTCAACCACATGGGTTGGAAATGCACATTAATTTTGTTTTAGGGAGAAAAGAAATAGATGTAATCCTAAAAATAATCTTATACAATTACTAAAAGGGGTTCATTATTTATCATGTTATAAACTATCATATTAATAGACCCAAAAATTCATGTCATGTTGAAAATTTTTAAACCTCTAATAATAAATTCATATTTGATTTTAATACTTGTAATTTTTTAATCAAAAAATAAAAATAACAATATTTTATTAAGAGGTGATTCAATAATAATAAATAAAATTATATACCGATAATATATCAACTAAAACTAAAACCACCCACAACATATATATAAAAAACAATTAGAGTGACATAAGATTTTAAATTAGATACCAAGTTTTAGAGTCCTGAAAATGGAAACTATATATATTTCGTATATAATCGTTTCTCTATGATACGTGTTATTATTATTTTTTATATCATATTAAAGAACTTACTGAATCCAAAGTTTTGTACATAAGTTGAGAAGGTAAAACTGAAAAACATAATTTACATACATTTTCACGACAAAATAAAAAAGGGGAAATACTATTTATTTTGACACTTGTTTTTTTCTTATAAAACGTCATATGCTTACGATTAATTAAGCATTTCACAACCCCAATAATAGGGGTATCGATTTCACATGGCCTAAAATATTGACTTAAAATCAGAGGTCTTGAGGACTTAAGATAGAAAACCCTGCCAATCTCATGTCATCCTTACGCACTTGATTGGACACAATGATTTCACTGTTATTTTTCTTTTTTTTTTTTTGTGCTTTAATTTCGCCCAGAAAAGAAGAGAATTGATTAATCACTTGTTGATCTCTTCCAAATCTCCTCAAGTTCCCTGGCAAAGGCCTTTTGCCTACCAACAACAATTGTAATGTGATCTTTGTTTTCAACAACCTTAACTCGAGCACGAGGGATTCTCCTTTGAACATTGTAGCTGCACTCGAGTGGGATAACTTCGTCGTCTTTGCCGTGGAATATGGTGACATCACATTTTAGCCCGTCGCGGACGGCATCCAAGTAGCGGTCGAGCTTGCTGGCGGTGCCACAAATAATGTTGTGAAGAGTATGCCAGGCGGCGTTATGAGTGTGGCAGAAGAACCCTTCAAGCAAGAAAGTCCTGATCCTGAAAAAATAATTAAAATTTCAAGTGAGATGGTAGATGAAGGTCGGTATCCAGAAGCATAGCATAAATGAATTTGAATATACAGTAGGACCTAATAAATGACATTACCAAATTCATTTCTTACATTTAATTAAACATCTGTCTCCATGCTTTAGCCTATTTTCTCTGTTAATATATATTTTCTTTAAATTTCAAAAAAACACATCTGTCTCCATCGGTTGGGGCTTCATTTTGAACTATATTTGACTTGTGTTCACCAAGCAATTAAGGAACAAAATTTTAAACACCAGTACAACCTAGCGCAAAGAAACTCTTGTATATTATATATTATAATTATTTAATTCTTTTTTTTACTAAAAAAAGTAGGGATTGAAATTTAAATTTTTTTGAATAAAAATACATGTATTTATTATTAAATCAATGTTTCAATACTAATATTTTTTAATTTTTTCAGTTTTTTTTTTCTCTTAAAATATAGGATTGAATTCTCTTTCTAACAAAAAAAATTCGATTACTTTTGTTTCTGTTAGTCAATTGATAAATAATGCATATACGGAGGAGGGCACTATATCCCTAATTATTATTATAAATTCTATTATATTTACTAATTTTTGGCACGAAAGTTTGAGAAAAAAGTGGGGAGGGAGAAGAAAAATATATAAATTGCTTGGTTGAAAACCTCTTGCATCTTGAATTTAATTGGAAAATAATTTTGATTCCAATCAAAGTTGGATTTATTTTATAAGGTTGTGTAGTGTAATAGGTGTTTAACATTTTTTTCTTCACAAAATCACTTTATACCAAAAAAATTCTAAAAAACAGAAATTCACTCCTATAGCAGTCTGGATTCTTATACGTCTCTAGTCCCTAATGAACGAAATAGATTGGCTGGGAGGGCCTTTACGTGGTATAGGAATAGAAAAAATTCTATTGCTATAAAAAATATATATGGCTTGGCTGGAGCCTGGAGGTAAGGCCTTCAATTGGTACAGGAGTAGGACAATTTTGATCAGTTGCTGTTAAAAATTGCAAAAACTTTGAAAGAAGTTTTTTAGGTGAAATTTATGAAATTTTTAATTAAAATTGATTAAATTAAAATTAAAATTAAAAATCAATAGATTTAAAAGTTTCATTATATAAATTAAGTATATAAATTTTAATAAATTTTGATATATATTTTTAGATAAATATTTTTCATAAAAATATTGATAGAATTTTTTTAATTGAATAAGTATCGATCAAATTTAAATTATAAATAATATTTTTTATAATTTTTTTTATATATTATTGATTTTTAAAATAAACTGTATAAATCTATAAATTTAAATTTTTTATTAAAATTTTTATTACATCATTTAAAAAAAAACATTTCACAAATTTCACCTAAATAAGTTTTCTCTAAAATGGAAAATTTTCCTGGTTTTTAGGAGGACTCGAAAGATTTGCATGCAGGGGCCAAAAGTAAAGTACATGGCTGAAATGGACAAATCTTTTCCACCTCTCAACTTCTCTGAACGATGAGATTGGCTGAAATAGATAATAATTTTCCAAACTTACGAATATTAGATTGATGGGTAGTTTGGTATATAGACCGAAAGGAACAGATGTGGAATTTGGATAGTCAAAGATAATAAATGACATGGTTTGCTTTACTGTATGGGATTGTAGTTAAGGTTGTTTGGGCGGACATGACTTGACGATCGGTGTTAGGAATTAGGATTGAAAAAATTATCATTACCTGTTTCTGGTGATAAGTTTGGTGAGAAATTCCCACAGACGGTGATTCTTGCAAACAAGCAGGCAAACCGTCCGGCTGATGTGCTCGTACCAGAAACCAATGGATGAACAAAAAGCCATCACTGGCCACACTCGTCGGGGCGCTATTCTTCTCATAACATATTGTGTTGCTGGTTCACCCATTGGCACTGGATGATATGGCTGCCATATTCATATGTACGTTTCTTGTTAGATGATACTTGATACTACTATAAATTAAGACCGGAAACGGTAAAAATTTTTGTCTAAGATTGGTAAAAGAAAAAGGAATTTACCGGTGCAAGAAGGGTGAGAGACTTGATAGATCCCGGATGTTTTACAGCTATAGCAAGGGCTAAGATGCAGCCTAAGGAATGAGCCACAATGTGGAAAGATTTAACTTTGTATGCTTCAAGCACCGATTTTTCAATCATGTCCACATGCTCTCTTAACGTGTAAAGGGAGTCGGTTGGCTTAGGACTTTTCCCAAAACCCAGTAGATCGACAGCCAACAGCCGATAAGTTGATTTAGCAGTGCTAGAAAAGTTGGGGAATAAAGTTTCAGTCCAAAATGCTGACGACGAAATGAAGCCATGTATGAATAAAACATCTTCTCTTGCTTTATCTGACATCACAAATCCAATAGCAAGCTTCAAAAAACTGAATGTAATAAATGAAGGTTCATGGTAATACGATGATAGTTATTTTATCACATTTGGATAATATTTGATTGAATCTCATTTACCTTTTGGTCCCTCAGCTTTAACATAAAGGGTGTCTTTGCTAGAAGAAGTCCAAGAATTGCAGAGTGTACAATCGCAGTCGGACCATCTAGGAATGGGATGCAATTGCTGCCCAACCATCTTGCCCTGAAGCATTTCCACAATGGTAGAGTTAATGGTGAACGTTGATCTTACTGTTCCTTTCTTCATCTTCTCGGAAGATTGGATGATGGTGCCATCCAATTTGAGCTTCTTTAGCTCATTAACGGTAAGCTTTGAGACCTCGGTCACAAGAGAAGGACGTGAATAGAGGGTATCTGAAATGTCCTCCAGCTGCAGCTTGCTTGATGTGAGGCAAACAATCTTGGACTCGCCCTTTTCTGAGACCAAGATCTTACCACTACTAGTGATGGCTTCTTTAGCAGAGGAGCAGTAACAAGGCTTCCATTCAGCTTCAATGCAGAAATCAACCACTTTGTAAACAAAACATAGAATGAAATCAAGAAGGTCAAGAATACAGAAGACAATGAAGCTCACTGCCTTATTTAGAACTCCTCCTATTAATGTTAAGACCGTTTTGATTTTACGCATTACATCCATTTGAGAGAACCTCTCTTCCCAACCCTGCCGCAGGCAATGGCTGATTATCCCCCAGGAAGCAAGAGTTAAAGAGAACAAGAGACAGAGAGACAGAGTTACTAAGGACAATGTGAAAGCTGTGACTGGGTTTTTTAGAGATGAAAATGTCTGTGAAACAATTGAAGGGCCTCAGCATAAACTCTCTCTCATCCCTCTTGTCTGTTCTCTCCTCACAGTATGCAAATCCTACACTAACATAAATAGGAAGCCAACAGTAGAATATACATGGGCAACTATATCCAACACGTTTTTCTGAAAATATGTGTGGCGGGACTATTCCACTGTTTGCGATCTTGACCTCTAATCAAATGTTTTGTGTCATGAAATAGAAGCGTGTTGGAGAGCTTCTCTTAGAGCTTAACGAGAAAGAGAGAGAGAGAGAGAGAGAGAGAGAGAGAGAGGGCATACATGATGCACAATAAAAAGGTAGGTGGTGGTTGAACCCCCAGGGCGAAGAAAGAATTGTTACGATTCTTCACCTTAGCCCAATATTCAGCCTAAATTTATGTTTTCTTCCCATACCTCCCCATATCAATTAATTCTTTATATTAGATGTACGAGTTTTTCTCACCTTTTCTCAAACACAATACAAGGGGTTAAGAATCAGGAAAACAGAGAAACAAGTAGGGCCAAAAAACACTTTCTTGCCACTCGGTGACTCTTTTTATAGGTCAAGTTTTTTTGTCCCTTTTTCTCATCCGCATTGTTTACAACTCATCCCTTGTTCTGGAGGCTTACGCGAACCATGAATGCAACCAATATTATTATTATTATTATTATTATTGTTCTCATAATGAACTGCTTTGTGCAAACCTCTTCTATTTATTGCTTGTTTTCTTCTCCACATGACTCTCGTATTCCCTTTGGTAGTGACACTTGGGCTTATTAATGTTTGGATTTTTTTTTCTTAATCTTGATTATTTGCTTAATGTAATGTCAACAAACAAGTTTAATTGATCTTGCTTCAAATAATTATGTCGATGATCAACGCTTCTTCTTAACCAATTTATTGACTTTCCTATTTTAATTTGGAAAAAAGGGGCAACTGCGTGTCGCAGATATTTCGCATCCCAGCACGCTCCACATTCTCTCAAGTAAAATCTTGTATACCGTCATGTTACTTGAACTAATTTATTATAAAAGATTTCAGCATAAACGGCTTATTGTCTCTCTTCATACCCCGATTAGAGATGCCAATATTATTTATATTTAATAAAAAATTTAATTTTCTATTCAAATATATATGAGAATAACTATTATATTATAAGTATGAAAATAAAAATGAATATAATTTTAAATTTTTATTAAATATGAATATGACGACGAATAATATAATACTCATCTCATACTTATATCTACATATATATTTATATATAATTAATAAATTAATTTTTTTATTAAAAAATATAAATTATTATTTTAGATTAATTAAAATAAATATATTTTTATTAAAATATATATTAATAGATATTTATAAAAAATTTACCTAAATATATAAATTAAAAATTAAAAAATAAATTTTATTTTTTATTTTTTTATAAAAATTATAGATACAAAAATTATCCTTACTCATTAAATATTTACGAAAATAAAAATAAAAATAAATTTAAAATTCTCATTCAATATAAATACAAAAATAAATATGATATAAAAATTTTAAGATAAAAATAAAAAAGTTTCGTCTTCCTCGTACCGTTCCAATCCACGTCCCCATCCATGTTCGATGCCATTCCTCTGCTTTCGCTCATTAAATTCCGTACATAAAAACAAATCATTAATTAACTCTCGAACTAAGTTCACAAAGAAGATGATTCCTAGTAAACTAAGGTCAGGGGGCGTGGCCGAAATATAACTAGGGGGTCAATTGATTTCGCTTAAATTTACATCTCTTTCATTATAATATTCCTATTAGTTTAATGTAAATTATAAATTGATTCCAGAAATTTAAAATTTTTTGATAATAAATATTAATTAAGAATCAGTTTGAAATTAATCCCGAAAAAATTTTAGTGGAAAGTAGAGATCACGCATTTGTCTTTGGTTCTTAAAGAATTAGAAAAAAAAAAATTATTGAAGGCAAAAAAGATATTCTATTTGTAATCGATTAATTTTTGGGATTAAAGTGAAATTTATCATTATATTTTTAATATCGAATTTTGCTATTGTATTTTACTTTTATTGAATTTTGTTATTACACTTTTAATTTTTTATTTTTAGACAAAATAATAATGAAATTAGAGAATTTCACGAAATATTTGGTTTATGTAAATCATATAGTTTGTTACTATATTTTCAATTTCATTGATTCTTGAATAAAAAATAATGGAATTGAAAATTTTCAGGAAGTATTTTGTAATGTAAATCACAAATTTTCATCAATTCTATTATATTGTAAAAAAATTAGAAGTGTAGGGAAATTTTAATTAAATTTGAAGTATAACTGTAAAATTCAATATTAATTCATAGTATAATGTTAAATTTAATCTTAATCTCTCAAGTTTTTTTTTATTTTTTGCTACTAAAATTAATCTTATTTTACCAATTGTAACTGTAAGTGTATATATATAAAAGATAATTTCAACAATGAAAATGGTGAAAATTTTATTGCATAATCCAATAATTGAATAGGAGATAAATTAATGAGGGATTGCTTATTTTCATTACGTATATTGAAGAAAAATTAGTTGACAGTATTAATAATGAAATAATTATATAACTATTTTTAAATATTTAAAAACTTGATGCTATAAAACAATAATATAATATTAATTTATTGACTCCACTTAAAAAAAAAAAAAATTATGCTTCCGAGTGACTCAAGGTTCTAATCACCAATTCCATTGTCGTTTACTGTCATGCATTACTATTGACTTTAGGGCGATAAGGGTACGATTTTAAATATGAATGTAAATTATACTTTTTTATTTTTTTAAGTATCAATTTATATATTTTTTTCAAAGTTCTGTAATTAACTTTAAAAGAAATAAAGAAAACGACTTTTGAATGCCTAACACTACTATTAGACTGGCTGTTATTGGCTAATGAGATTCACGCTTTCCTGAGTATGATGTTTCGAGAATTAGCAATGAGCAGACTTAATGAGCCTCAATTTATGGTGAGCTACAGCCTTTAATTGATTTTATGATATTGATGCTGACTTGCAAGCGGGCGATTACCTATAATTTCCTGCCGACTTAACAGGCTAATAGATGATCCAATTGTCTGCATTACATCAAGAAGTGAATGAGAAAGAGGATTGCAATTATAAGAACGCAAATGATAAAAAAAGGCGACACGTAGAAGCAGCATGTATATATCAGAATAATAAAATTGGAAGATGAGTTGTTTAATTATTTGTTCACTAAACACGAGTATACACACACATATATATATATATATATATAGATATATTTTATGATCAGCATCAAACAAATTTGATTACAAACTAATGCGTTGTTTATAAAATTCAAACAGGCCTCTTGCAACATATAATGCACACCTACACTGTCCACTTCTGACAGGATTAATGTATATTTTACAGTGATACTTCACAACTAATTTGCTTCTAGTTAGGACCAGCTTTGTACGCTGAGCACTTCAATAAAAAAAAGAGAGTCATTCCAAGGAGCATAATCATCAGTATCCTTGTATGGTTAATTACTCCGTTTATTCAATTGGATCGGATGGTTCCACTAATGGACAGCATTGAGTTGTATATCCTTTCGTTTGTTTAGAATCTAAATTGTAATGAACTTAAATGTTGATAAAATATCCAAATATTGTCCTGATATTGGATGCTTCATGAGGCTTTATAACTGTCAATACCAAAATACTGGCAATAATTGGGATTCTGCACTTGTTTATGACAGTGAAACAAATGCTATTGCTGCTTTAATTTATAACAAGAAGATCTTTGAACCTTGGACCATAGTACTGTTCCTCTTTAAATATCGTGCGGGTGGAATAGCATTTAAATTCTTTTTTATGCTTTAAAAATTTCTACTTAATAACTTTTGTTATTTGTACTAAATCTAGAGAGCTAGAAAGTGGATAACAATCACTGGATGGAAGAGATTTAGAATGTCTCAAAACCCTATACATTAATTTGAGAACAATAAGCTGCTGATATTGGTTTTGACAGCATTTCAATCTATTTTTTAAGAAAAAAAAAAAAGAGAAGTAAATCAGATATATACAAGAGAAAATAAAACCAAAAAAATAGTATTTCAGAAACAATTATAAAGATTCAATCAACAAAACTGTAAAAAAAAAAAAATCGTAAAACAATTGTGGATTTCGGCTTTATGTATCCGTACAGACTAGAATTTAATGCTCTAAACAGCCATCCGATCTCTATAAATTGCATGCCTGCGATATCATCTAAACTCGGCCCAGGTCTAACCATGTCAGCGGGGAGAAACAAAAGGACGGCGTTTGGCAACATGAGGGGCAGGATCCGCTCCGAAATTGGAACATGCAGCAGCCGCACCTTGTTAACGGAAGGCAAAGAAATTTTTATAAAAGTTCTACCAACTGTACAGAATACAGTATGAGTTTTTTTCTATTTCCAAAAGGATTCTGTCAAGAGATAAATAGCCTTATAAGTACATATTGGTGGGGATCCAAACAAGACCGGAGAGGTCTCCATTGGTTACGGTGGGACAGAATGTGTTTAAGTAAAAAGGAAGGAGGAATGGCATTTAGACATTTCGAATTTTTTAACCAAGCAAGGATAGCGCTTGATTAAGAACAGAATTCTCTACTCCATAAGGTGCTCCATGATAAATACTTCCTGGATGGAGAGTTTCTAAATGCTCAACTAGGTCAAAATCCTTCAATGACCTCAAAAGCATTTGGATGGTGAGGGCGACATTGGAAAAGGGATTACGGTGGAGAATTGGTAATGCGACGTAGGTGAACATATGGAAGGACAAATAGTTGCCGGACAACAAGACAGTAATAGAAGAGAGAAATAGACAAAGTATTTTAGGGCCACATGCAAAGTGTCATGGTCAGGTCCTGACGTGTCTATGTACTGTCATGACCAACCCTGAGCTGAGCAACGGATGAGGTCTTATGGTTGGGACAATGGTCCT